AGTATGTTCAACTGCTGAGTCATTAGAAGGTGGAATAAAGTCGTTACCAGTAATAATATTGTTAATAGTTTGTTCTAGAGGTGTTTCTATATTTTGGGAAAAATTATCGGAAGAAAGTTTAATTTTTTTGGTTTATTCAGTCTGTTCAGTAAGTAAAGTTTGTTGGCTGGAGCTAGTAGAAGCGTTGGCGTTCATATTGTTATTGTTTCTTTTATTATTCGAAGGAGTTTGAGAGTTTTTATTAGCGTTTCTATTTTTCGTTTGTCTAGTTATTGGCATTTTTGTTATTTTTCGGGAAAAAGATAAAATTAAAGATTTTTTAAAATTAAAGATGTTTTTTAAATTAAAGATTTTTTAAAAAAAAAATAGACAAAAATAATTTTTTTTAAATATTTTATTTCGTTTAATTTGATTGGTTGACCCGAATTTTATTAGGTCAGGTCATAAGCTTGACCCGACTTGATATTGACCTGAAAATTTGTTTACCTGATCTGGATTTTTCAGATCAGGTCGGGTCGAATCACAGGTTGAACTGACCTGATTCAGAGCTCTATTCAGACCTTATTCTTTGTGAGGTCCAAAAGAATTAAATCGCTTGGTCTTTTTTTAGTTTATAGCATTTGTCTTTTTTTTCTTTGGTTACAACTATCTCCTCTATAATTTCTTCGAGTGAACCGAACTCAGATGTTTAAGAGAATGATGTGGTCTCAAAGAATCTGAAATAGCATTATATAGATAATAGATTTCTCAGTCAATATTTTTTAAGATTTTGATGTATCTATGTTACATCACATTCTAATGCTATAATGAAATCTTTGATCTCTTGAATAGCATATATCTTTTCTTTTTCTGAATATGTGTAATATTTTTTAGATGGCATTTTTTATATCTAGGAAAAAATAACTGAATATTTATCGTGCATTAACAAAATCTTTAATATTATCTTAATGCTGTAACTTGCCTTTCTGTTTGCATGTATATGCTTTTCACTAGATTGCTATTGCTTTGAGCATCTGCTCTATTTCTTCATCTGATTTTTTGCGATTCTCCTTATTAGCTATTGATAATAAAGCTTATATAATTCCTCTAAACTACCATATAGATTATTATCTTCATACCTTTTGCGATAATTTTTTAGCCTTTCAGTATATGCTTCTTCCTTAGAAAATATTTTTACTGCAAGTGTCTTAATATAGTTATTCAGATCCTTTTTAGCTTGCAGTTCTTTAGATAATCTCCATAATTTTTCGTAAGATTATCATATTTTCTGCCTTTTCACAATGCTGTTTTTATGACTTTGACTTGTGCAAGTTCTATATCCTTATGATTAATCATTTTTATATGTTTCTACATAGCAATAGAAAAACTTTAATTAATGAAAATATATATTTCTTAGAATTTTTTTATCTGAAAAAATATTTGTTATAAAGCATCTATGCTTTGACACGAAGTTTAGCTTTCATAGCCCTTTTTCTGCTTCTTCAGGAGATATTTCAGATGCTATCAGATGTTTATATAATCCAATTCACTAATGCTCATATGGGAGGGTTCGAATTTCATCAAGTTAGATCCAACACTTGTTATCATATAGATTTAACCCTATCTTATTTACCCTCTCCAAATATATTTGATGATCATAACTGCGAAGACTATATATATCATGCTGAGTTAGTTTCTTATTCCTAAAAAATTCTAGAAATTTGTCATGTCGAAGCTCCCTTTCCCTATAAGAAATTTATATATGGAATTGTATATATTAATAATACGTTTTAATATTTGTAAAAATGTATAAAATATACTTAAATTATATATAATATGTATGTAATTATTATGTATACAAAATAAGGAAATTGTCAAAATTACGAATATATAAAATTCGTAAATTACGTATATTGTATAAG